CAGGCCCAGAAAAGCAGCAAAATCAGGCAAGTGACCCTGTGGCTGCCTCAGGACCAGCTACATTGACTACTGAATCCTGGCACTGACCAATCAGTGGAGACCAGGACCTCTGAAAGAGCACACCTGGAAAGCTGATGAATATTCTATTAAGACCCTCCCCTGAGGCCTCCCCTAAGATTCCCACCACAAGAGAGACAAATTGGCTCAGGACAAAGGACCCAGCAGGCGCTTCCCCACCAAGGGGAGCACGCCAGCACCATTTCCTTCCCCCTTCTTCCCTCTGAATGGACACCGCGATGGCAGCTCGTCCCAAGCTTACCCCCTGAACCTGTATCCAAGGTCCCCTTTTCTCTGGCTTCTCAGTGAGCCAAAGTAGCCCAGCCTGGGTTCTCCTGTTGCTTCTTCTATGCACCTTCCTTGTTTCATTGTCCTAAGTATATTTTTGCTGCCATCATGGACCCAACACCCTTTGGCTCAGTGCTGTGTAGCCCTTGCCTTTGGATATCCCCATCCCCCATCTCCATTTCCTTAATTAAACTCAAGTTTTCTTTATCTACCCTCTGAGATGTCTATTTAGCCTGCCTGTGCACCACTGATGTTAACCTTTCACTGCATATTTACATTTTATGCATTTTTTGGCTTTTCCCCTTAAATAAGAATGTTTTAGATCCTGAAGATAATATTAGGATCTATCTCGGGGTTTATTGTGAGACGGAAATGAAAGCATGTAGAGCAATTGGAATATTCCTGGCACTTTGTAAGACCTAAATAAATGTTAGCTATGTAAACACAATAAAAGTTTGCTATTATTATTGTTTTTTTTTTACTTGTTGCCAATACTTCTCAGCTTGCTGTTTGTCTTTTATTTCTGTTAATGCTGTCTTTTAGGTTATTAGTATGAACCCTGAGAAGAAAGATTAATTTGATGTGTACCCTGAGAAGAAATTTATCTGCTGAGATGGACTCCCCATGGTCAACCGAGGGCCCAAATTTTATAATAATAAGAGCCTAGTGGCTATTTGCTGATAGGGCCGCCTCATTACTCTGTATACTGGGAAGAACCTTAGACTGAACTCTTGGCTTCTCACAGTATGTCCCGCTTGTTTATGCTGTCTGAGTCAACCACTGCAGGGAAACTTTGTTTTCAACTTTTTACCAACAGACCGAGACCTGCCCTGTCTAATCAGAACTGCACAATTTGGATAGCTCATTTACATAAAATGGACCTAATTGATAAAAGACGGTCTCCCCTTTGTGGAACACAATTTAGGTTGCTACCTGAATGTGTGTCTCCTAGGCTGTAGCTCCTTTTTTGCTCAAATAAATGTTTTTTACTCTTTATTACAGTCTAAAATTAATTCTGATTTACACTGGTCTTTTTTTATAATGTCTTTCATCATTCTTAATCATAGAAAGCCTTCTCCAATCTAGAGATTTAATAAATATTTGTTTTCTTGCAGTTTTAAAAAGGTTGCTTTTGAACATTGATTCTTTTTATTACTTTAATAACAACAAAATATATTATTAAAGAATTAGTACATACTTGTATAAAATCTTCATTTATTTCTCAAATTGATCTGGAATTCATATTTAGTGTCACTGGACAAAGTAAACATCTTTTTTCGAATCAGATACTGAAGTTCCCCTAGCACTACTAATTGAACAATTCATCCCTTCCCCACTGACTTTTGCTGCTGTCTCCTCTTGCAGGTGTTAAATTCACAACCATTTGCACCTAAAGCAAAGATAGGAAATAACTTAGTGTTTGAATGGAATGTGATAATGCAACTGAAAGGGGGGCGGATGGTTGCCAGGCAGCAGGTGGGTGAACTGCAACCCAGAGGAAAAGAAAAAGGGAGAAAAAAGCCTCTATTCTGTCAAACAAGTGTTCTATAAAGATTCCATCCTTGTGTGTGACACACAAGCTACTTGCTCTTATGATGTTTGGCTAATCACTTCATGTGCGTAGACCTCAGTCTCCTCATTCATCATGTGCAGATAGTGATATTACCTACACCACAGGGTACTGTGTACCTGAGAGCTATCCCAAGCAAGGAGTGTATGCTTTGGGGTCAGTCAGCCAAGTTTCTCATCCCTTGCTCCACAACTAACTAGCTGCCTAGTCCTAAGTAGTTTCCTAATTTTCCAGCCTGTTTCCTCATCTGAATATGTGGCAGCTAATAGTAATTAATATTAATAGTAATTTAGAAAGTAAGAGCAGTAACTATTATGGAATTGCTATGAGAATTAAAGAGCTACTGCATTTAAAAGGTTCCTGGCACATAAATAATCTTTCAATAAATCACAGTAGTGTGGTGATTTTCATTTTTATCCCTATTAAGGAAGGGTCAGGAAGAGAAAGAAGATTCAGCAAAGTAAACTGAGAAGTAGGCACCAAAAAGCTCTGGGAGGGGAAAACTATGAGACAGGGCTGTTATAGAAACCAAGGGAAAAAAGGAGGAGGGAGGAGATAATGCAAGTTATTCAAAGACTAGTTTCTCCTGACAAAAGACTCATTTCATCTGTGAGCAACTAATGAAAATGAAGGAAGAAAGGAAGGAAAAGACCCATAATCATAAGTGGAGGCTATCAGACACAAAATTCTCTAAAAGCTGTACATTGGCTAACTCTTAATCTGATCTGAATGCCCAAGTGTGCCATGTCTTCCAAATAAAGAAAATATATATTTCTCAAATAAAGGAAAACCCAACACAAAGTGAAATAAAGTCTCTCGTTTGCATAATTTTGGTGAAACAAAAATTTAGACAACTGCCAGTTTACACAACGAAGAGGAGGATGGGAGAGGGCCTAAAGGGTATGAATCACAGAACGGTTTTCAAGGAAGTGTTCTATACTGAACCCCCAAGCAACTCCAGTGAAAAGGAAGGTGGTGGTAAGTATAGCATTTATTTACTTTTCCTTTTACTCTACCTGGGCCCAGAAAGAAATTATGATAGCATAGATTGTTTATCTGAGTAAGTTACTCAATTTGGGAAGGAAGTGGAACATTATTGCACTCTGAGATAGAAGAGGGAACAGACATTTCCCTCGCCACCCAACTTTAATTAGGTGCAGGTAAAAGTTGGGGGAAAGGTCCTCTGGGAGGACAGCTGGAGAATGTTGGGGGGCCCTGTGGCTTTGGGAGCCTGAGTGCAGCTACCTTCTGCTTGGGGTGGGGGAGGGGTCCCTTTTGGCTCTGGAGAGAGGGAGTGGCTGCCAGGACCCCAGAAGTGCTCCAGAGGGATGCAAGAAATGGGCCTCTTAAGCCTTTGCTCCTGGCCAGTTCTCAGCTAGAGGGTCTCAGGCAGAGGGGCCCTCTCAGTCTCCTTCTGGTTAAGAGGGTGAGGAGATGGGGCTTAAAGCAAACCTGAAATGTGGGGTGGGGAAGGAGTGATGGCACAGTAGCGGAGGCTGAGCCTCCACCCCCCTCCACCAAGGGGGAGAGTGAGAGTGTGGGAGTGTGTTGTAAAATGAGATTGTGGGATCATGGATGGAGCAGGAGTAAGAAGCCAGAGAGTGATTCTGGAAGAAGGAGCCCTTCAAGGCAGGTTCTGGGTGCAGTAGCCCAGGGAAGGCTGCAGTGGGCTCCTGGCAGTGCCTGGCTTCTCTCCCTCCCTCTGGGCCTCAGCCTGGGGGACTCTTTTGTCCCTACTGAGTAGGCCACCAACTGCTAGCATAATTAGGGCCCCAATACCTCTCTCCCCTCAAGACCACACAGCCCAGGGTTCTGTATGAAACATCTGGGTCTGCAGTTCCTACCAGGCTTCCTGTCAATCTAGATGTGAATCCCTAGCCTGGTCATCTACCCCCTCCTGCCTCTTCCTCTCTCCTTCCTACTCATGCATCTGTGCTCCTTCTCCTCCACACACCATCCCCACTGAAGCATACCCTGTCCTCTCAGCTCAGCAGAGCCCCTATTTCCTTCATTACAAACTCTCTCAGGTCTGCATTTATTTCACTACACTCCCTACCTTAAATGAAATCATCTCCCCACCAACCCTGTCCTGCTCACAAGGATAGGAACTGATAAAACTGCAAGAAACATAGGACCCTCAGGGACTACGGTCACATGTAATTTTTTTTTTTTTTTTAATTCTCACCTGAGGATATATTTCCATTGATTTTAGAGAGAAGGAGAGAGAGAGAAACATCAACATGAGAAATATTGATTGGTTGTCTCCTGTGCATGCCTGGATCCAGGGACCAAACCCAAATGTAGGTATATGCCCTGACACAGAATTGAACCCACAACCTTTTGGTGTACAGGACAGCACTCCAACCAACTGAGCCACCTGGCCAGGGTATACATGATTTTTTATCACCCTCTAATCTGAGGCCATGAAATGAGGTAGGAGGCCAGGAAGGTCCTTCTCTCTCCTATTAATGTCCTTAATTCTAAAAGGGTATGTGAGTTTTCTAATTCCCATATATTTTTACATGCCCTGGCATCCAGATTGCTTTTCATCCTTCCCTGGCTATTCCCATTCTTGGGTCAGGGTGAGGTTAGCTTGGAATCCTTGGACTGCTAATATCCTTCAGCTAGGGTGAGGCTTGGGAGGCCTGAGCCTCCTAGTACCACACTCCCAAGAATAGCTTCTTTCTCTGTAATTGGGGAGGCAGAGAGGGTAGTGTCAGCCCAAAAGATAGTCTCATTGCTGCTACCAGGCCTTATCCAGAAGCAGCAGTAGCAGCAATATATGAAATCTACCCAGGGAAGGACGAGCGGCCCCCTCCCAAAGTGAACAGGAATGGAGCCCCTGAAGTACCCATTTGCCATTTTTGCCCCCACCCCCATCCTAGCATCAGATTTCTCAGATGCATTAGAGAAGAAAGCATTGGGGCATTATTAACTAGTGGATGTAGACTTGACTCTTGACCTAGGAGACAGGCCAATTGTGATAAGGGGCCCTTTTCAGCTTCCCTTTTCCTCATGTCTAAGTGAGGTTGATAATTCCCCTTCAGAGTATGACCCTCCTCATTATAGCTTCTATATTTAGTTTTCTTAGTTTTTCTCTATATTCCTAAAAGTCATATCATACACAGAGACATTAAACTTTATGCTTATATGTATTTATTGACATAGAAGGCCACTGCATATATTGCTTGGTGAAAAAATACACAGTATAGAACAGCACTTATTTTATCACTTTTACCTATACATATATCTATCTGGGTATACAGGTATAAAGAAATATCTAAAGAGACATTCATCAAAGGGCTGACAATGGTTATATGTGTGGAGAGTTTCAGGTAATTTGTACTTTAGTTTTTCTATTTTCCTGCATTTTTGAAGGTTTAACAAAGAGTTACACTCCTTTCATAAAACAAAGTCAGCAAGGAAATAGGTACACAGAGTATAGACCCTTAGGGACACAGAGGAGGGAATAGGGAGAGGTCAGGCCATCCCCTCCACTTTGCTGGTACCCAAGACCTCTTCTTCCCCAAAAGAAAACCACTTTGTGGATTAATTCATACAGATAGAAACCTACCCCCACTTTTCTCATCACCAGTTTTTGAACATCGCTTAGGTTTCACTTAGGGCTGGGTCTAGCACCTTACTGTGGTTCAGAGAGGTCATTATGTTCACTAGGTACCTCTTTTGACCCCTCCTCCTCTGTAGGTGTCAGCTCATGCAGTTTGATGATCAGGTTCTCAAATACCTGGGCCTTGTTGCTCTCATTGTCACAGGTTTCCTTGGAGTGGCGCTCATTGCCACAATATGAACAGTGGATTGTGTATTTTCCCTTCCTGGCTCTACGCCTATTCCCAGGACCATCATCCTTATACCCAGAACCACCACTGGTGGAAGGAGACAGGACCTGGGAACTGTTGGGGGAATAAATGACTGGTGTTTGATCCTGAGGTCTGACTCTGTCTCTGAGGGGAGGGGCACCCATGGATGGAAGTGGAGGGTCCACCAGGATCACATCCTCATCTGAGTCACTGAGAATATCATCTAGCTCTATCACACTGCAGTCAGCACTGCTGATCACAATTGGCTGGGGGCCCTGAAACGCCACAGGGCTTGCTGCCCTCTCCATGATTAGCTCAGATCTCTTGGCCCACTTCCGTTTCATAAAGTTGTCATCCCAATCCTCCTCCTCCCTTATCATCTTGATTAACTCCAGGAAATTGGGAAGATGCTCCTGATCATTTGCATATATCCTGAGAAGATGCTTCAGCCTGTAGCGCAGGTCCCCGTTCAGCTCAGCCCCTAAAAGGAAGTGGTGCAGACGAGTCTGGTTTGTATCTTTCTCAGGTATGATCCCTGCCTGAATAGCATTCTGGAGCTGTACCTCTAAACGGATCACATAAAAGGAGGCTTTCTTCCCCTGTGCCTGCAAAGTGCTGAAAAATTTACCATGGGCAGTGACACTGCTTTCAGACTCCCCAAACACCAATTTCATTGCCCGCAAGAAATCTGCCACACTTAGGCTGGGGTTGGCTGCTTGGAGCAAACGCATGACCTCCCTAGCAGGGCCCCTAAGGGTTTTCATTAGGCACTTGAACTTCTCTTCCTCACACATATTCCAATCTGGCAGGACCCCATTGACTTGGATTAGCCAGTTTTCAAAGGTTTCTTCCCCTTGGGCTGGTACTGCTCTGCCGGAAAACAACTTCATGTTTCCTTCTGCCATGTTAACCCCTAAAGGACCAAGACTTCTCCCCAGGGACCTCAATATGGAATGGGCCCAAGGGGGCAAAGGTGGGTTTTGCTGCCGGTTATTACCCACACGTGCAATAACAGAATGGTCAATGATCGTCTATAACAAGATGCTCGGGCTTTTTAGAAAAGCCTAATCTGCAGGAGGAATCCCCAAAGCAATGTTCCTGGGCTCTGCTTTCCTTGTATCTCAATAGGAGCTGTAAAGAAAAGGGGTAGAAAGGTCAGGGAAGCAGCCTGCAGTAGCTTTCTCAACCTTGCTGAATGCCCTGCAGTACATTTTATATTTGCCCAATGCCCTAAAATTACCCCATAGGAAAGTGTCAATTACAACCTTTTGGAGCTAGCAGGTATCCCTGCTAGGTAACAAGGATGCTTTTCAGAGCCACATCCACCCCTTTCCACCAATCCTCCAGGAGGGAGGAGGGTGGGCAAACTAGCTTCGAATTCCAGGTAAAATAGTGTGTGGAGCTGAACTGGGTTCTCAAAATTGAGTGCAATGGTCTAAGTCTCACAGATTTGTGGTAATAAGATTAAACTCTTGGTCTCAGGTTTCAAATATAGCCGCTTCTCAAAGTTTTCCCGTTATTTCTCAGATTCTCACCAGAGCTCTAAAACAAGGGCATGCCTTTATTTCACTTCCTGCCTCTCAACAAGTGCCCTCCATAAGAAAGCTCGTTTCTGGGGTAGGTCGAACTTTCACCACCCAGGGCTGAATATTCCAGTCTTCAGGCCCTCAAGACTGCATCGCCATGGAAGGCAAGACAGGGAAGAGAAGAGTCAGAAGCAGCCTCATTCCCTCATCCCGCTTTCGCCCACCCCCAGCCTCCTGTTGCTAGATGGAAAATTCCCTTTCCCATCTTCTGAATACAAGCCAAAGCGACCCCTCTATTACATTTTCCCAAGGAATCCAAGTTCGTTCGCATTTGACTTTGAAAGCCTGCCACCGAGAAATGGAATAGGAGTTGGACACGCACACCACATATTCCCCTCCAGGAAGAAATGAGATGCAAAGGGGTTCAAGGCAGATTGCTAGCGATTCTCCCCCACCCTTCACCATCACCCCCTGAAAATGCCCCCCTCTCAATCCAGGCAAATCCTACCCACTAGGCAGCATCCAGTGGCACCCCACCTCCTTCCTCAGTGCAGCTGACCTACGGGAGAGCTCCTTACCCTGCCTCACAGTTCTCAATCCCTCCCCCCCACACACACGCATGGAGCCGTCCAGTCCTGGTGGGGCTTCCCTCTCGGTCTCTCACTGCACCCGGCAGTCGCAGCCCCTTTCTTCACCTGTACTCGGCCAGTGGGCAGTGGATGGTCCCGCGTGGACAGTGGTGGATGCCCCCTTCGGGTCTCTGAGGCCCTGAGGCGGGGGTAGAGGGAAGGGTAGGATGCCGCCTCCTAGGCCGCTAAGCGAATTGGGGCGGCTAGAAGGAGCCGCTCCTCACAGCCGCCTAGCAAGGGGGAGCCGAGTCCAGGAGGCACGGTTCCCACGGCAGCGGTGTGGGCCCCCGCCTACCCGCTGGGCCCTCCCAGCAGCGGCCTCTTCTTTCAGTCTTTGCCCATTGAGACAAAAGAGCTTGATGAGCCAGGCGGCGCGGCCAATCAGTGGGGTGCGGGGGCGGCCTCCCAGCGCAGCCTCGGGCCCCGAGGCCATTGCCATCAAAAGGGGGGAGCCGGCAGGCGGGGGCTGCGGCACAGGGGCGCTGGACCCAGCGTGTTGTCAAGTGCAGCTTGGACGCACCTACTCGGCCGATTTGCATTTTGCCCGTGAGTTTGCTGCTTTTCCCTTCGCTTCCCTTCTCCCTCTCCCCTTCTACATCACTTTCCTTCACGCTCAGAGGCTGGATGCCTTAAATACGAGGTGGGACAGAAATCAAGTGAACAATAAGAGTTCCTCACCTTTGTATAGGGGGAAGGCAGCGGGGGAGGCGGGCGGGGGCAACATTTGCCGAGCGCTTTCTGCTTGCAGATGCGCCTGCACAAACATTCATTGATTCTTCTCAGCAGCCTTGGGAAGGACATAGCAGCGTACCCATTTAACAGAGAGGGGACTTAAGCGCCCAGGCAATACGGTTAGGAAGTGCAGAGCTAAAAGCTCATGCCCAAGTCCGACATGTCTGATTTCAAAAGCTGCCTCTTGTGAACACTTCTCTCTACTCTCAGATTGAGGGTTAGTGGAGAAGAGCCAAAGTGGAGATGGGGGGGCTCATTTAGAATTATATAGAATTAGTGAGCAAGGACTACTCTCTTCATTTCACAGATAAGGAAACAGGCACAGAGATGTTAGGTATCTTGCCTGGAATCACACAGCAAATGAGTACCAGCTTTCGATTTTGCACCCAAGTCTGTTGTTCTCCAAATGTCAACTATTTGCCCGACTGAGCTGCCTAGAGAGCCTTTTTACATTGGTGTTCTCAAACCTTATCAACAGCAGTCTTGATGTGCTGGTAGTGCAGAGGGAAGAGATAAAGAGGCAGCAGGGAGAGGGGTGGGGGTAGACTTGAGCAACTTTTACATTACCCATTGTACCGAAGAGGAAACCGAGGCACTTTTCTTTCTCTTTTTTATACTGTTTCTTACACTAAAACAAGTTGCCAGTTTATTCTTAAAAAGAAGTAAAACATTTCTACAGCTTATGACCCAAAAGGAGATAAGGCTCAGAGGTGAAATGACACCTGAAATTACAAGGTGAAGCCAAAATTTGGACCAAATCTCTCTGATGCCAAAACCTATGCTATTAACCAAAGTATGGGTACAAGGCTGGTTGCCTCAGAATCATTTTGGAGAGCTTGTGAGAAATGCAGATTCCTGAGACCCACCTCTGGGGGATTTGGATTTACTAAGACTGGGGTGGGAGGTGTGATTGGTATTTTTAAACAGTGCCATTGTTAATTCTGAGGTGTAGAGAGGTTTGTGAACTACTGTCAAAAACACACCACATCATGCTGAGGGTTATACGTGAGTAGGCCTACTGCCAATGTACCTGTCCACAGTTATATTTGTCATGAGTTGCAACTCCAGAGCAGAGATTCCTACCTAGAGTTCTTCCTGAAATTGTTGGCAAAGAATTTGGACCCTGTGTATCTTTCTTAGTCCACAGCTTGGTAGATTTTCAAATGAGTTGGCTGCCCAGAAATTGTTAAGAACCACTCCCCTACAATCTTTCTTTGTAATATCTTCCTCTTTTAACTTTAATTTGAGAAAGAAGTGTTAGAAATGAAAAACAATTTGACCTAGCCCCCAACCATAGCTCTCTGCCACTGATAGAGCTCTTTCATTTCCTGGCTTCAAGACAGGTTGCTAGGTTGCCCTTCTGTGAGCTCTTGAGGGGACCTCTCCTTTGCTGGATTGCCATCACTGGCCCCAGCCAGAGAAGGAGCAACTCCATGGAAACGGCATGCAAGGCTGTCCAGAGTGAATGGGTCGTGAAGCCAGGGGCTGGGAAACCTGCTCCATTTTCCATGACTTCTGGTTCTTGGAGAGCAGGTCTTTACTTCCCTTATGTCAGAGGTGGCTAGGAGGCCCCCTGTGGGTCTTGCTCTCAACTCCTGATGCTTGAAAGCAAATGAACAATCTGATGCCCTTTGACTACTGGGTTCATCTTCAACCTTCCAAGGTACTTCACCTGCTCCTTTCTCCCTTATTTACAACCCCAACACCTACAGTTCTTTGAAGTAAGCAATTCAGATTTGGAGATGAAGCACCTTCCATCTGAGGACTGTGGACTTTCTCTTGTGGATGGAACAGTGGAGGGGGAGGAGAGGGTTGGAGGTAGAAGGTTCACCTCACACAGTCAGGAATGATGCTCGCAGTAGCTCTTAGGTTTCCTTTAGACTCTTGCTTCTGCTCCCCAATCCCATGACATCTGACCCTGGGTCTCAGCAGACTCTTCTATGTTTAAATTGGCTTCCTCGCCAAATTAGGTGATCTACAGTTGGACCTGGTGAGGGTGGATCAAATACGACAAAGAATAGATCTGAAAGCTCTAACAAAAAATAGTGAAAGGAAATGGATTGTGTAAAGGTGCCTGGATCGGGCCATTAGAACAAAGTGGGGGATCTCTGGGTAAGGCTGGGAAGAGGATTTACTGATTTGGCTCCAACTGGGTACAGAGCATTCCTTATCTCTGGCCTCAATATATGGACTGTGTTCCAATTCATGGCTCTAATGAGACCACATTTTCCAATTTCCACAAAAGAACCTTAAAAGCCCAAAGGTTAGGGAGATAAAAGCTTTCGGTTGAAACAATAATAGTTATCCTTGACTGCCTGCCTCTGTGCCAGGAACTTTCCATCTGTTATCTTATTTAAGTTTCTCAGCAACCCTATGGAGACAGGCATTGTTATTCTATTTTGCAGGTCCAGACACTGAGTTTCTGGGAGGTTAAGTAAGGAATATAAGGCCACACAGCTGGTTAGTGGAGGTACTGGGACTCCAGCCTAGGGCTGTCAAACTCCAAAGGCCACAAACAACTCTTCTCTGCTGTCTTTTAAACAAAGAATTGAAAATGGACTCTGCAGATGACCCATTACATTAGATTGATTTCGGCCTTTAGAACAATGTGGTTGTAATCTTTATTTCTGGGGTCTCATTTTTTTTTTTCTTAAGTAAAACTACTAATATAACTTATGGAGCAACTTAAATACCAAGTACTGTGCTAAGCATTTTATGTTTCATCTCCTACATCTTTCATGACAATCATTTTACGATAAGCATACTGAGGCACAGAGAAGTGAAGAGACTTGGCCAAGGTCATAAAATCAAAAAGTGGCACCACAAAATTCAAACCCACAATGCACTGCAGTGGGGAAAACAAATATGGCCCGCATTCTAAACTGTCTCCTTTCTATCCGCCATAGCTGTATCTTCTTCCCATGGCCTGCATCCAGCATCATGCACCACTCATGCTTTTAGGCTACTGTGCCTTAGTTCTCTTCCTCAGCCTAGGATACCTGCCCTCACTCTTCCACCTAATGAGAGTCTGCTCATTGGTTAAGGATCAAGTCAGATGCCCCTCTTTGAAGAAAAATTTTGGCTGCTCCCTGTCCTTGGTGGAATACATAGCTCTTGTCTTTCTGCTCTGGCCTCAATTATACATTTTATTTTGCCTTCCAGTATAGATTAGCTTATTGTTGACCTGACTCCCCCACTAGATTCCCAAGCCCTTGAGGGCAGACACCAATTCCTATTCACCTCAAGCTCCACGGTGATTTACCCACAGTTATGCAGTAGATGATCAATATATGTTTTTGAGCAGACTGAAAGACTGGCTCAGGTATGCTCTGAATGAATGGACAAATGTGGGGCTGGATCCTGGGATGGTCACAGAGGCTGTCCACCTGGACTAGTCTGGCCAGGAGAGTCTGGAATCCCCTGGGTTTACTTTACTAGGCTGTAAATGCAGGAGGGACATCATAGGGTACAGGATATAACAGCTTAAGGCCAACTCCAGGCCCATCCTGTGGTCTTCACTTTGGAACTCAACTTAAGGGGCCATGCTGTCTGGGATTGTTTAATAACAACTTGGCATTCACGGAAGAAAAGCCTTTCCCACCTCCCAATGCACATGGGATTGGTACCACCATACCACGTGATATGATTCTGGCTGGCCTGAGAGTGTCCTGCAGGAGCCTTTGCTCTGTGGAGACAGGTGTGTGGTCAGGAAGCATATTTTTTATTTATTTTATTTTATTGAGGCCACCATTCTATGGATGCTTGACCACTTTATCTCATTGGATTTTATTAATCTTCACAACAACATTTTGGGGGAGATCTATTGTCATTTTATTTTATTTTATTTTAAATATATATTGATTTCAGAGAGAGGAAAGGAGAGGGAGAGAGAGAGAGACAGAAACATCAATGATGAGAGAGTCATCGATCAAGCCCACAACCGGGCATGTGCCCTGACCGGGAATTGAACCCTAATTGCCTGGATCCCAGGCTGATGCTCAACCGCTGAGCCACGCCTGGCTGGGCTATTGTCCTTATTTTATAGCTGAAGAAACTGAGACTTGAAAGGTCACACAACTAAGTAAGTGTAGAGGCAGAATTCAGTCTTAGGTCAGTCTGTTCCAAAGACTAGCATCTTAACAGAAAAAAGTGGACTCTCCTCTCCACCATTAAGTAGAAAAAACTAGATTCATAAAATAATGAATTAGATATTTAAGGTAAGATATTTATAAATTACTCACCTTTAATCCCTGAAAATGATTGGCAAAAATGGCAAAAAAAAAAAAAAAAAAAAAAATCAGGGATGGAAAAGTACAATTAATTCCTCTATCAAATATTTGCCCAAATTCCCTCATGTAAACCCCCTGACACACACAGTATGAGGATGTCTAGAGATCCTTTCATCCTGTTTGCTCATTTTATAACTCAGATGGAGGAGGCTCCAAGATGTAAATGAATTTCTTAAGGTCACAAAGGAATTGATAACAGAACTGGCACTTAGAATGATGATTTGCCAAATTCTAGCCCAGTTTTCTTTCTGCTAAGTTAGCCTGCCTTATGCAGCTAGTCAATACATGTTTATAGGTTACTTAGGAAAATGTGGGAAGGAAGTGAAACATTATTGCACTCTGAGATAGAAGAGGGAACAGACATTTCCCTCGCCACCCAACTTTAGTTAGGTGCAGGTAAAAATTGGGGGAAAGGTCCTCTGGGAGGACAGCTGGAGAATGTTGGGGGGCCCTGTGGCTTTGGGAGCCTGAGTGCAGCTACCTCCTGCTTGGGGTGGGGGAGGGGTCCCTTTTGGCTCTGGAGAGAGGGAGTGGCTGCCAGGACCCCAGAAGTGCTCCAGAGGGATGTAAGAAATGGGCCTCTTAAGCCTTTGCTCCTGGCCAGTTCTCAGCTAGAGGGTCTCAGGCAGAGGGGCCCTCTCAGTCTCCTTCTGGTTAAGAGGGTGAGGAGATGGGGCTTAAAGCAAACCTGAAATGTGGGGTGGGGAAGGAGTGATGGCACAGTAGCGGAGGCTGAGCCTCCACCCCCCTCCACCAAGGGGGAGAGTGAGAGTGTGGGAGTGTGTTGTAAAATGAGATTGTGGGATCATGGATGGAGCAGGAGTAAGAAGCCAGAGAGTGATTCTGGAAGAAGGAGCCCTTCAAGGCAGGTTCTGGGTGCAGTAGCCCAGGGAAGGCTGCAGTGGGCTCCTGGCAGTGCCTGGCTTCTCTCCCTCCCTCTGGGCCTCAGCCTGGGGGACTCTTTTGTCCCTACTGAGTAGGCCACCAACTGCTAGCATAATTAGGGCCCCAATACCTCTCTCCCCTCAAGACCACACAGCCCAGGGTTCTGTATGAAACATCTGGGTCTGCAGTTCCTACCAGGCTTCCTGTCAATCTAGATGTGAATCCCTAGCCTGGTCATCTACCCCCTCCTGCCTCTTCCTCTCTCCTTCCTACTCATGCATCTGTGCTCCTTCTCCTCCACACACCATCCCCACTGAAGCATACCCTGTCCTCTCAGCTCAGCAGAGCCCCTATTTCCTTCGTTACAAACTCTCTCAGGTTCTCAGGTCTGCACTGAGCATTAATTTCTTCTTGAGCACTGCTTCTTCCCTTTAGTATAATAGTTCTGAACCAGAGGCAATTCTGTTTGCCTCTTCCCAGGACATATGGCAATGTCTGAAAATATTTTTTGTTGTTATAGCTGGATAGGTCACAGCTGGTACTACTGGCATCTTCCAAGTAGAGGCCAAAATACTGCTAAATATCCTACGATGCACAGGACAGGCACTAGAACAAAGAATTTTCTGTCCCAAAATGTCAATAGTGTAAAGGTTGAGACCCCCTGGTCTGTCATATAGCTACAGGTCTACAAAGTTTGACATGGAAATTGCTAGGTGTGGAGCTTTTTGGTGCTGAATTTCTAGGAACATCTCCTCTTCCTGTTCCTCATTCTGGAGAGGGGGATGGGGCATTGCCATGAAATAGCTACAACATAGGCAAGAATCTACAGAAAGACAATAGAGGGAGACTCCCACTCATCAAATTTCTACCAATTTTTGGAGAAAGTACCAGACCACAACTTTTGAATGCCTTGCTGCTTCTACGAGATAGTGCCATTTTTCAGAAAGAGAATAGCAACTTATTATTCTAGCAATTTATCAATTATGAATTTTTATGTGGTTCAAGTTGAATGTAATAGGTTTTGGAGCCCTCTTTCTCTAATTTTATTTTCTTCAATCTTAAACCTTCTTTGAATATTAGAATATTCAGTGTGTCAGCAAAACACTGTAGAGGTGACTCTTTCCAGAAGAACTAGCTGCCTTTGTTTTAATTCTTTCTTAAGAGGGTGCATATTTCTCAGAGTAGCTTGTTTCCTTAAAGCTGAATTTCTTGGGGCTCTCTTTCTAACTAAGCACTAAAAGTGCTTACCAGCAGATTAATGGTCAGTCTAACCTCTCCTCCCCCCAACTCTTGCCAGTTTCTTCCGTCCGCACCCAGTTGTCTCCAGCATGGGGGAACCAAACCACTCTCCCGGGAAGGAGCTTCAGCACTGGACGCGAGCAGAGACTCCTGGAAAGAAAAGCTGGCATTCCCAGGCCTACGCTCTTGGGGCCATTTCCAATTTTATGTCTACTTTTCTGACCTTTCCTATCTATAAGGTTGTGTTCCGGCAACAGATCCATGCTGTGGCGGTGTCAGAGGCTATGAGACAGCTTTGGCATGAAGGCCCCCAATACTTCTACCGGGGAATCTACCCGCCTCTTCTCTCCAAGACGTTGCAAGGGACTCTACTATTTGGGACTTATGATAGCCTGCTGTGCTCTCTCTCCCCTGATGGGCCACACTCCCTGGGACACCGCTGGGCTGCAGGGCTCATGTCTGGTGTGGTGGAGGCTGTGGCACTCAGCCCCTTTGAAAGGGTGCAAAATGTGCTCCAGGATGGTCGCAAGCAAGCTCGCTTCCCTAGCACCTTCAGCATTCTCAAGGAATTCAACTCTTATGGGTTTTGGGGGCGGCTGTCCCTGGGCTACTATCGTGGTTTCTGGCCTGTCCTTCTCAGGAACAGCCTGGGGAGTGCTCTGTATTTCTCCTTCAAGGACCCCATCCAGGATGGCTTGGCAAAGCAAGGCCTACCCCACTGGGTCCCTGCCTTGGTGTCTGGGAGTGTCAATGGAACGATCACCTGCCTAGTTCTCTATCCTCTGATTGTGCTAGTTGCCAATATGCAGTCCCATATTGGCTGGCAGAGCATGCCCAGCCTGTGGGCATCTGCCCAGGACATGTGGGACACTCGGGGCCGAAAGGTGTTCCTGATGTACCGTGGAGGCTCCCTCGTCATCCTAAGGTCTAGTGTGACATGGGGCCTCACTACTGCTATCCATGACTTCCTTCAGAGGAGGTCTCATTCCAGGAAAGAGCTGAAAGACTGACTAGCTGCAGGAAGTGTGGCCATAACTTTGTTATTCTAAGCCTTCTCGAATTGGTCTAAATAGCTTACTTCTTTGGCTTGGTTACCTAACACAGTCATTCTTTAGCATCTTTGAACTAGAGAAGTTCCCAACCACTAACCAGTTGGGCATAGACAAAGCCCAGCATGATTTGTTAGTCAAAAAGAGAAAGTCACTCCTTTCTATCCACAGCTTCAACAGCCTCAGACCCAGGAAGCCTTTAAATAACTTATAACCCAGATGAAATGCCATTCCTTTAAGGAATTCTTTGATAATAAGAGGAAACTTTAAAAGAGCTTTAATTAAGCACTGTGAGTTTCGAAACTCCGGTTGTCCTCTGGACCAAACTGAGTGGAGGACCAGGAACTCTAATTTCAAAGAACTAAGCTTGACTCTTAGGTGTAGATTGTATAGAACTTCTCAGATGGCCACATTTTCATGACATTGTTCACTATGCCTACCACCACTACTCTCACTTCTCACAGCTGTGGGTTCTAGCTTCAGGGTGGCAGCTGTAGTTGGAAATCCTAAATTAGACTTGCTTCAGGTGCCACAAGAACTGCTAGGCTGGAGGTGGGAGTGGGGAGAGTTGTGGTCCCTGGATGGATAGAAAGAATAGACTTTGAGGGAAGAGATTTAGTTGCATGTAAAATAGAAATAAAATCACTATAGATTACTTGAAGTTGTCTGCTGGGACATTTTTGATAGCAAAACAATGACATTGCCTAGAAACCACTTTAGTTTCCCTAAGAAATCTGGAACTGAAATGACTACATCTCTTCACAGATCATTGCATATTTTATTGCTATAGATATAGTTACTGTGACATAAATTAAAGATCAGAAATCTTAGCTTGTAGTTCAGAGCCATTTAAAATATGGTACTCCTATAACTTTCAGCATTTCATCAAACGACTCTCACTTACATAGATTTCATATACCAGCCAAACTGGACTATAGTTTTCTCCCCCAAAATGCCCCAGACTTTCCCATGGCCATGCTTTGGCCCACACTTAATTCTTTTCACCTCCAGTGCTCCTTTTCCACCTTCCAGTCTGCCAAAATCCTTCCAGAATCTCAAAGCCCAGTTTAGAGTCCACCTTCTCTGTGGAACCTCTCTGATTACCCACAACTGAATGTGGTGGTAGTCTCTGGTGATAACACTTCATACATGGCACTGATTCCATTATGTCACTGATCTCATGCGGCCCTGTGTTCTTATTGTTCTTCAGTACCTCTTACTAGACTGTAAAATTCTTTTAAAGCAGGGATTCTTGTATACATTTTTAAATTTCCTATTGTGCCTAGGTGCTCAATAATGTTGGCTGAATTATTGAATTGATCATCAAGCTGTGATATGGTCTTTATCCTCAGGGTGCTGTCTCTTGTACATGAAGATAATGTTACCGACTCACCGTCAGCAAGACACATACCTTTGGGGTGTGATTTTGTTTTATTAGTAGATTTAGCTTTGTGTTAATGATAATGATGCTGCTGCTGATAATAAAATTACTTTCAACTGAAACATTTGACCAGTTTGTTATTGATGGCGTTTTTGCTATTAGCAACACTATAGGAACTGAAATTTCACCAAGAAACATATTGCTTAACTGTCTCATTCATTTCAACTGGAATTTTGAGGATTTCCAAGATGACATATGTTGCAGTTTCCCCCTCATAGTTATGATAATAACCTTCGCTTGCACATCCTCACCTAACCGAACTTGTCATTTGTAATGACCTGATTGTAGATCCTTGTAGTGAGAATTCCTCACTGAATATCATAAAAATTAAAGACACCACTGTAGGTGATATGAGATCAGAGAGCATTTGCTAACAAGGTGAACAGAAAATGGCTGGTCCAAAATAGCTGCAGATGAGTTCCCACCCCACATCTGATCCTATGCACACTTAGACAAGGTGGGGTAGTACTCTGCCTGTAGATTCAAGGAGGGAGGACAGAGTCTGCAAAAGGGAAGGAAAAATAGAACAGCAGCTGGTTATATTTCAAGGCTAGCTCAGAGGGGAGAAAATATTATTTACAAAAATTCATAACTTAGCTTTGACTTTGGTTTTTAAGCTGAAAAGGGGAGGATGTGCTACTGTATTTGCCCACTTTATTATGCAAGAGATGCATTTATTTCCAACTACGCTGTCAATTTCCACTTAAGTCACTGCCACTCTATGTTCCTTTCTTCATTTTAACTTATTTAGAAATAATTTCAAACTTATAGAAAAATTGCCAGCATAACTAAAGTATACAGAATACCCCCATACCCTTTACTCAAATTTAGCTACTGTTGACATTATTAACAGTTGCTTTATTATTTGAGACTTCATTCTCTATCTACACACACACACACGCACGATATTTTTTCTAAACTATCCAAGAGTTGCAATTGTAGTATTTCTATATTCAATGTTTGTAGATTCAAATTCTTTTAAAAAGACTATTTTATCTCTATGACAATGGCACAGTTATTATAGAATATTAGAAAATGAAATCTCATGGCATATTTTAAAGCTATATTGGTGGTAATTATTTCAGTTTACTATATTTGCCTTGATAAAAACTTTAAATTTGCATTAGCTATGTTAATACTTGAAGCTATGCAATTATAATAGAAACACAAATTTACAACTAAAGCATGTTATATTTAAATAATCTATTTTTACAAATTAGTACATATAAAAACTTAGGCAAAATTATAAAATTATATGAACCTATCAACTTTTTCCATTTAAATCTTCTAAGTAAAGTTTAAGAGTGTAATAGTTTCTAGTAATTTTTAATGTCAATATTTAGTTTTGTGGTGTTAATGTGGTTATATTTTCTGACATTTAAAAATGGCTTTTGAACTTGAGATCCATAAAATAGGGAGGTAATAAATATTGATATCTTTAAAACTTATAAAATGTAGAATTTAACACTAAAGCAACTTGGTATAAAAAGTTGAAAGAAAAAGAATAAATTTCCCTGTATAAGCTCTGTGTATTTTTGTCTAAATATAAACTACATCAGCTTTTCTAAAATGCAAGGTGAAATAATAAATGATTAATGTATTAAAACTATTACCATAATTATATGGTTTATTAAGATTTAATTTTGCTTTTAAAATTTCTTTTGAAACATTAAATAGCATTATAATTTAACTATGTGTTTGGAATAACTGCATATACTGTAGTATATTAAAATTAATAAAATAATGTTATATATGATAGAAAAAGCATAATAAATCAGGAAGCTGTGGAAAGTTTTCATAAAAAGAATAAGATAAGAAATACTATATTTTTCTGTTCTGTTCTCCCTCCAGCTTCTCTGTTTCTTTCATACCATCTTCCTTCTAATCAAATCTATTTATAATAGCTAAGATCTGGAAACAGCCCAAGTGCCTATCAGTAGATGAGTGGATAAAAAAGCTGTGGGACATTTACACCAAAGAATACTATACAGCTGTATAAAAGAAGGATCTCTTACCCTTTGGGACAGCATGGAGGGACCTGCAGAGTATTATGCTAAATGAAATAAGCCAGTCAGAGAAAGACAAATATCACATGATCTCACTTATATGTGGAATCTAAGGAACAAAATAAATTGATGAACAAGATAGGACCACAGACATGGAAGCATGAAACAGACTGACAGATCTCATAGGGAAGGCGGCAAGAGTGGGGGAAGAGATTGACCAAAACACTTATAAGCATATATGCACACCCCATGGACAATAGACAGGTGAAGACCAGGGGAAGGGTGGGAGATGGAGGGAGGGGGGTAAAGTGCACAAAATGGGGGATGTCTGTAATATTCTCAACAATAAATAAACTTAAAATTAATCTTCAATACCTCTTTCCTTCTCATCAATCCCATTTTGTGACCTTGCTTTCCATTTCATTATGTAGAAGCATTCAGAACAGAACTGCCAGTTAAAATAACACTTATAAAGCTATCACCCATGTAAGGACTACCGCGGACAAGTGGAACACCTTGGTTACTCCTATCCACTCACTCCCCCTGCTCCCCAATCCCAAATAATGACATTTCTCCACCATCCTAAAGGTAACCCCCATCCTGACTATTGTGATTTCATTTCTTTACTTTTCTTTATAGGCTTATCTTCTATATAAGTAAGCATCCCTAAACAACACAGTTTTGTTTTACATATATTTAAACTTCATATACTTGGAATTGTGACTGTTTTCTTTCACTTTACATTATTTGTGAGATTCACTCATGTTGTTGCGGGTAGCTATAGTTATTTCAATCATGATAAATTTACTTTAAAAAGTCTTTGTTCCTTAGAGCAGTTTTAGGTTCACAGCAAATTTGAGAGGAAGCTACAAAGGTTTCCTATACACCTGCAACACTCACACATACGTAGCCTCCCCCATTATCAACATTTTCCATCATAGTAGTACATTTATAACAATTATTACTCAAAGACCATAGTTTATATTAGAGTTGATTCTTGGTGCACTTTCTATGGGTTTGGACAAAGGTATAATGACATGTATCTACCATTATAGTATCATACAGAGTAGTTCACTGCCCACCCCGCAAATCCTGTGTTGTGTTCATCTCCCTCCAGCTTCCAGCAACCACTGATCTTTTTACTGTCTCTGTAACTTAAATTTAACAGAATGTTATATAGTTGAAATTATACAGTATGTAGTATTTTCAGATTGGCTTCTCTCATTCAGTAATATGCATTTAAGATTCCTCCACGTCTTCATAGCTTGATAGCTCATTTATTTTAAGCACTGAATAAATAGCTATATCACAATTTATCCATTCATCTACTGAAGGATATCGGTTGCTTCCAAGTTTTGCCAGTTATGAATAAAGGTGTTATAAACATCTGTGTGCATATTTTTGTGTGGACATGTTTTCAATGACTGTGTAAATACCAAAGAACGAAACTGCTGGGTTGTATAGTAAGCATATGTTTCATTTTTTAAGAATTTGCCCAACTGTCTTCCAAATTGGCTGGCTGTACCATTTTGCATTCCCATCAACAGTGAATGAGAGTTCCACATACTTGTCAATATTTGCTGTTGTCAGTGTTCCAAATTTTGGCCATTCTAATAGGTAAGTTATGATATCTCATTGTTTAGTTATTTCACTTTTATTGTTGTGTATTCCATTGTATGAACAGTATAATAAAATGCCACAATTTATCGATGACAACTTTGAGGGATATTCTTGTTTCCTGGTTTTGACTGTTAAAAAACAGTGCAACCATGAATATTCTTGGTAGTGTATATAAATATAGGTTTCTATGGGATATTTACCCAAGAGTGGAATTGGTGGTTTATACAGTATGGGCAGTTTCAACGTAACTAGATGATGCCTAACTTTTCCTATTGGCCTTCCAATTTACACCATTACTGGCAGTGTTTAACAGTTCCCATTGCTCCACCTGCTGGCCAATATATGGTATTATCAGACTTTAAAATTTTTGCCCATCTAGTGGGTGTAAAATGACCTCATAATTTGATTTTCTTGATTACTAATGATGTGGAGCATCTTTTCACATGCTCATTGGACAGTAGGATTTCTTATTTTGTGAAGCATTTATTCAATACATTTGCCATTTTTTTTGTATTGGGTAGGATGCATTTTTCAAATTAATTTGTAAAAGTTATTTATATATTTTAACTGTAGTGCTTGGTCCTTTACATGTGTTGCATATATCTTTCCATACCTTGTCTCTTATTTTTTATCATGTTCCTGATGGTTTGCCATAAACTGAAGTTCCTAATTATAATAGTCAAAGTTATCAATCTTTATTCTTTATGCATAGTGATTTTCGTGTCTTTTCAAATAAATCCTTCCCTACCCCCAACATCATGAAAATAGTGCCCTGTAGTAACAATGAAAATTTTCACAATTTTGCCTTTGACAGTTAGGTTTTTAATATTTTTGGAATTAATTTTTGTGTAGAGAAAGAATGGATATCCAGTATTATTTTTTCCTTATAAATACCTAATTGCCCCTATCATTTGTTGAAAAAAATCTGCCTTTCTCTCACTCATTCATAATGCCAACTCTGTAAAATATCAAGAGCTCATATATTCTTGGGACTATTTGTGGCCTCTCTTCTATTCCATTGGTCTTTGTGTCTAATCTTGTGCCAGTATGACATTGCCTTGTAAAAATTCTTGAAATCTGATAGGGAAAGTCTTTTCCATCTCCTTCTTGTTCTTCAAGAGTTTCTCAGCTGTTCTTATCAATATCCAAAAATATAGATGCTGAGATTTTATTTTCTACAAACCTATTGTTGAGATTTTAATTTTAGCAAAAGTAACTGTTTAGTTGTAATGCAAGCAAAAATAATGTTTCAGATTCTAATATTTAATGTTCCTCAAATTTTCATAGTGTCTAACATATTTTTTATTGAATTTTTATCAGTTGCTGAGATTTTTTAACAGTAAAGAAAATTCTCAGGAATAGGATTATAATGATTTTTTAAAATAGGTAGCACTCTTTTGTTTTAAGAGAGAATATAATCTTGTGTTAAGATATCAGTTTTTATGT